CAGACCTCTCTGGCACTCATTTCAGGCAAAATCCTTTGGTGAAAACCAAAGACTTTTCCCTGGAGGCCAGCCAGGTGGACATAGCCAGGGATGGGGCTGATGTGGCTCCATGGCAACAAGATGACCATGTCCCAGACTCTGCATCTTCTTGGCTTCATGGCAGAGAATATCTGCTGAGCTGGTGTTGGTGACCAATGGGGTGTCTCTTTGTGTCCTTCCCACTCTTATGAGTTTTCCCTCAGAGTGCTGCTCTGATAACAAAAGTAAATCTATTTTTAAGGATTAATTAAAGCTATATACTTTATGTTTACTCAGATTCTTTACTATCTGAGGCCATTCAACAGTCTTACAGAATAGAAAAGATGTTCTTGGTGTTTGAAAAATAGAGAAAGTCCAAAGACTCATTTATTTTTTTATTTTATTTTTTACATTTATTTATTTTTGAGAGATAGAGTGAGACAGAGCGTGAGCAGAGGAGGGGCAGAGAGAGAAGGAGACACAGAATCTGAAGCAGGTTCCAGGCTCTGAGTGAGCATTCAGCACAGAGCCTGACATGGGGCTCGAACCCACAAACTGTGAGATCATGACCTGAGCCGAAGTCGGATGCTTAACCTACTGAGCCACCCAGGCGCCCCCAAAGACTCATTTAAACAGACGGTCTTATTCCTTTCTCATTCAGCCTTTTGAGTAAGACTAGACTCATTTTCCTTCTTCTGATGATAAATTTTTATCCAGGGACTGCATTGTTCCATCTATCCAAGGATCTTGGGTCTATGGATATGGATACTTTTATCTGACATCTTTTTTCAACCAACATTTCTTGAGAATACTCACATCTCCCATTATCACTTCTACCTACTTTCTAGTAAGGAATCATCTCTTCCTCGGTCTACTCTTTCAGATCATTTTCTTCCACTTTATTAGGACTTCTGGAAAGGAAGCTTCCCCTTTCCCATGGGAATAAGCTAACTGATCAAGTTTTGAAACAGATGACCACTTCAATAGTAAAACAGGTGCCACCCTCTAGCACTCTCATCCATGCGGTCCATTTTTGTGCAGTCAGAAGATCACATATGCCTCCTCTGGCTCAGCCAGCCGTGTCTCTGTTCCCTGTCCAGCTCCTCTGCCTCTCACTGGTTCAGTGAAACAGGTTTGTGTGTCCAGAAGTCCTATCATGAATAGGTAGTAGGACAGAAGTGATGGCATACTTTCTCCTTCTCTCAAAACAAGCTAGATGCTGAGTTGGCATTCTGGCTTGCTTCCCCTGGAAATCTGATAAAGGTAAGTGTCAGCTGTGTAACAACATTCCCTGGGTTGGAAGTCCCCTGATTAGTGGGTGCTTTACTGCGAATATCTGGTGGGAGGCTGTAGCTGTGGGCTTTCTGGAGTACAAGGACACTTGTAATTGCACATGACTCTTATGGAGAAACTATGTCAAGGTGGACCCTCCATGCCTCATTGTGGGTCTCACCTCCTTCTTTCTGAGCTATTATCTTGGAGCTGACAGCCTAGCCCTGGACTAGGATATGGAGTGCACCAAGGACCCACCTGCAGAGAGGTAAGCTGGACCTGCCTCGCGGAGGCTGTGATTCCTGTCCTAAATTCCTCTAAGTGAATCTAGTGCCAGCTGTGCTGTCTGGTACTTCTGTGAGTCTAAATGCCTAGTTGAGGCTAAAAATAAATATACCCCTAGAGACATTGCAGGCTCTGCCTGATTGCCCCTTTCAGAGAGTCCCTAAAAGGCTGATACTTTACAACCACTTATGCAGTACTGGCTGCTTTCCCTCAACTGGCCAGAACACTGCAGAAGAGAAGTGACCAACACCTGAACTTCACCCTGGAAACCACCATCGTCACCACTGATTATCATCACCATCATCAAAATCACCCTCATTTCAACCATCATAAGAATTTGTGCATTTCAACTACTATACATCACCTTTCACTCTCTTCTTTAGATCACATATTACTCTCTTTTTGATTTTGCCTTCTAGCATTTCCTCCTATGGACAACCTCTCCTAGAAAAAAACACTGAACTGAGAGTCCTCCTCTGCTGCCTGAGTCAGTCTAAGACAAAACCCTTCAGTATAAGTTTCACCATCTAAAAAATGGGAAGAAAGTTATTGCCCCTTGGAAAATGCTCTGAAATGGAATTAGCTCCTGTTATAACCAACAAAATTATAGAAAGTCTAAACTCTTTAAAGGTGAGCTAGTCTAAATATAAATATATCTGACTACTTCTGGACAGCACCAAAAGCAATTACAGTCCCTATACACCCCCCTCTTGTCCAATGTTTGTCGCCAAGCAGTCACTGGCTTGTCAGAGCCAGAACAGATAGATCATGATGTGGCTTTGCACCCTGAGAAATTACGTTTTCCTAAAAGCTTCGAAGGAAGGAAAGCAATATTAAAACTCTCAATATTTATCTCACTGTGCTTCTTCCAGAAATTGGGTGACTGATGTATATATGTATGTATATAAGAGAGAGAGTTTGAGAGAGGGAAGTGGGTTGGAGGGAGGCAGATGGAGAGGAGCCAAGAAAGAGAGAGAGGACAAGATGGTTCTGTGGAGCCCTACTCAGTGGGAGACATTACAGGAGAGACCAGAGTGCCAGGAAGGCCCAAGCAGGAAGGGGTGCTGGGTTCTGGGTGGCTCAGAGCCACAGGGAGCAGGACTGTTTGTGACGGCTCTTCCTACAAATGCACCTGGGTCCAGGTGCACTCAAAGTCAGAGGTGGCATCTGCAGACGTCCCATAAGAAACACTGATGACTCCTGCTGTCTGATTCAAGAGGATAATGGAAAGAGCACCGGACCAGTAATCTTGCTTCTAATCACAGCTGAGCAATCTTGAACAGATCGCTTCCCTTCTCTGGGCCCCAGTTCTCTCAACTTCAAAACAGGAGTTGTATAGATTGATCACATGTTCTCTTCTATGTTTACTTCTCTTAGTCTTCAAATGTACGGTTCCCTGAACGGTAGGTGGTATTTACGCTCCTTTTTTGCTCCTTCGCTCCCTCCAGCAGAGGAGCAGTATGCTTCCGTGGGCCACACCTCTGATGCTGGGTTCGTTGACGACTTGCGTTGGACCACGGGTTTGGGCAGAAGAGACAGTGTGCCAGTACTGAGCAGAAGCTCTGAGAGGCACGACACGTTTCCCCCAGTTCTCTTGTGCTCCTGGACCTGCTTAGAAGAGTGCACTCAGCAGTCGCTGCTCCTCCAGCCTGGGCCCCAGCGCGAAGAGACACTCAGAGCAGGCTGGGACCCAATGCACAGTCAGAAGCTAAGCAGAGCCAAGCCCAGCTGAGCCGCAGCCTTCATGCAGACCCGTGAACGGGAAATAAATGCTTGTTGTTGTGAGGCACTGCAATTCTGGAGTTGCTTGTTACCACAGCCAACGCTGACTAATACACCACGTGTTGGAAAGCATCTCTCATAGAAGCGCACATCAGGGACCAGTCAAAAGCCTGCCTGAAGGAGAATGAAGGGCAGCTGGAGAGGCTCCTCCAGGCTCTCCACTGCTGCCCCCCTCATGGCAGAGCCATACACCTCCATATGGAGACACACCTGGTTTCTGGCAGCAACAATCCATGCCTCAGCGGGGTGGGAAGGGATTTTGGTGGAGGGGAAACTAAATTAAAATGCTCAAAGTCAAATCCCTCCTTATTCACGGTCCTCTCTCTTCCATAGTCCTCCAAAACCGGGCAGTCTGCTTCTTTCACTGTCTCCGTGCCATAGAAGACTGCCTTAAAAAAGGCTCTGGAACTTGGGGGTTGATGTATTGGTTTCGTGAGCAAGGAGAGGCAGCAAGAAGCTTCGACGAGTATTCAAGCACCTGCATCACTAGTCTCTGGCTGCTGTAATCAGCATGCAAGTCTCCAGGCCTCTCTGATTCCTAATTTAAAGAACTCCAAAGAAATCCACATAGCATCCTCATAGCCAAATTCTAGCTAATAGATGTTTCCTTGCCAAACAGAACAGTGTAGCATAATTGATACAATATACAAAGTAAAGCGAAGAGAAGAGCACTGTAGAACTTTAGTGCTGTCAGCATCATGGCTTAGGGGACAACCTGGGGGTTCCAGGTTAGGATGTATAACCAGCATTTAAGCATGCTTCATGTCACTCAGAGAAAACCAGGACCTCAGTCCCTTGAATGAGGACTCCAGAGTTGAAAACCATAACCATTTGTTGGGGGAAACAGAAAGACCCAGCCCTCCACCAACCAACCTAATACTAGGAGAGGAAGGAACATAGATTTGGGAGTGGTGTAAAGGGACAGGCAGGAATTAGAGGGGTGGGTTTCCAACTTTTTGCTAAAACATCGAAGACTTTAAAACAAAATCTTACCTAGAAGAGAAACATATGGAAATGGATAAAAGTATAAAAATGAAGGGTAAAGCAAGGGTGAAGATTCAGAGCCTTTCTGTGCTGCATTCCATTGCCCATTCCCAAAACTGGTTTCCTTGAAGCTGTGAGCGGAAAACTAGAACTACATACAGTTTGAAACATTCTAGACTAGAGAAATCTTGGGTATTGTGATAGGTTCATGGAAAGCTGAGAAGGAGGGGAGGAGCAAGTATCATCATGGCTGTTTCTGGGCATTTACTGTGAAGAGAATGGACTTAAATGTATAATCATCCCTTGTGATGACTTGGCAACCACGGAGAACACAACGGAGAAGGGGGCTTCCACATCTTGCTTGAGCCAGACAGACTGACCAACTGTCCTTTCTCAAGTCTTCTTGGAGGCAAGCCTCCTTATCCTTATCTTCAACTGGGCAAGAACAGGTTTACTCGGGAAAGATTTAGATCTTCCTTCTCTGGTCTACTTCCCCCCTCATCCCATTTACCCCTCAAATCTAAGATGCTGGCTCCTCCTGAGCTTACAGGTCTTAAGCCTGGTGTTTTGGCCTCCAAGAGGGAGGAATCCCGAGAGATTTGTCTAACTCACCACCATGTAGCTCTCTACTTCCCACAGAGACAAGCCCCCAGACCCACCTATGCACACCACGTCCATGAATCCATACATCCCATAGCAGATCTGGAAGAGGAGGTCTTGGCGCTGCCACTTTGCCGAGGGACTGAAGGTTGACCAGATGAGCCAAGAGATACTGGCAACGAGGAAGAGGGAACCCAAGATGGCGGCTGCAATCTGAACCTTCTCAATGACTGTCAGAGAGATGGCCTGCCACTGCAAAGAAGAGAAGGGCAGGTTAGCTGTGGCTGGGATACGCTGACCCCATTTCCATTCCATTCCCGTCCTGCTTCCTTCTGCTGCCTCGACCTCTCACCTCTGCTTCAAGATTTAATACAGGGCTTTTTAACTTGTAATAAAATGGCTATTTTTGTACGTTTCTGCGTTTTATATTGCACTTTTAATATGGAGGAAACCTGTATCACACCAAATGATCAGAAGTTAGCGTAGGGCGGGAGTTCTGGGCAGCCATCACAGAGAAGGAAGGCCTTTATAACTGATTATGATACAGACAGAGAAATGGGAAGGAGAAAGTAAAGATGCAGAGGCAGTGTAGACGGTATTCTAGGGCCCAGAATATTCCTTCCAGAGCAGCACTGTTTATTTTCATACTAAGAGGTGCTTTTCACACTAATGGGACACAGGCCTTTCTTTTGCTTATTTTCTACAACAACACCTGGCATGTCATTAAACATAAGTGCTTGAGATTACCAATGCAACAGACAAGGAGAGGACATGGGATATAAGGGAGAGATAAGAAAAGCCGTATAATTTACTGACTATATATGAACACTGAGATTTCACTTTTTTTTAACATAAAAAGCACTATGCTAATAGAAGTATTGATGGATAGATTGAAAGCTGGGGTGTGGGTGGTTTCAACTCTGAAATTATGTGATTCTATGGCTGGCCTAGGTAGCACAAGCCTAAGTGAACCTGGAGTTGGTTTTTAGTTTGGGATTTATTCATGCTCTCACTCAACAAATATGTACTCTGCTAGGTGCTGGAGATAAAGCAGCAAGCAAAAACACATAAGATTTCCATCCTCATGGAGTTTATAGTCTAGGGAACACAGATGATCAAATAATTATTTATAGTTGCAATTTATTAGGCATAAGAAAAGAGGTACACAGAACTGTGAGAGCCTTTATGGGGGATTTGACTAGTCAGAAAAAACAATGCTTGAGTTGAGTGGGAGTTTAAGCAAAGAGAGGAGGGAAGAGTGCTCTAGGCACAGGACAAAGCATGTGCAAAGGTCCCGTGGCAGACAAAAAAGCATAGTGAATATGAAAACCTGGAAGAAGACCTGAGTGGGTGGAACAGAGAAAGCAAAAGGGAGTGTGGAGTGAGACAGCTGGGAAAATAAGAGAAGATCATGTGGAACCTTGGAGAATATGCATAGAGTTTTGGCTTTGTCCTAAGAGTAAACATGATACTGTTGAATACTTTTAACAGGGGAAGTGACAGGATCAGATGTGGGAAGGCGGAGGGCAGGACAATCTTCTGATTGTAGGGATTTGTGTAAAGCCTGGCAGAGGACACCTCCAGCAGGCATTTCAGCCTGAATGCCTCAGGAAACACAGACGACCTTCTATCTGACAACAGTGAGTCCTCACTATGCATCCAATGGCCTGGATGGAAGCACTGAGTCGCCCTCAGGAGGACTGACCAGCAGTCCCTAAGGAATTGTAACTACTGGAATACCTTTCACTTGCTAGTCTAGATGTAGGACATCAGCCTTTACATTTAATTGTACAGATAGCATCCCATTACAGGTAATTGGGCCTTTAAATTTTCCACTGCTTCCCCTAGCCTAGGGTTACACAAAACAAGGGAATTTTCCAGAAGATGGTCTGATCCTACAGACTCCTCTCAAATACTCTACTACAAATGTTTTTTCCAGAGCTTGCCTCTCTCTGTCTGTGAAGAGGGTTCTTGACTGAGCTTTTTGTTTTGACCACTGGGTCATCATCAACCTTCACTTTCTCCCACTCCAGACTTTAAAACCCCCAAATATAGAGGCACAGAAAGGTCTCCTTAATCCCGAAAGCTACCCTAACCCCTGATCTCCCAAGCTAGCTGTAGAACGTAAGCAGGGCCCCTGACTACTGCTTGAAGCTTGATGCAAAAAGAACGGGGGGGGGGGTGCTGTAGATGAGGTCTTCTGTCTGTCCCATGTGAGCCCCCACGAGAGGTGTGGGGAAGAGAGCTGCAAAGAGCAAGCAGAGAACAAGAGAGCTCTGAAATCTCAAAGGGAGGCTTGGGAAGTGGAGCAGGGTTTCAGGCTCTGCTACCCTCAACACCCAGGGCTTCATTCCGATGAGGTTCTGATCATAGTATGGTGAGCCCCTCCATGTCCTGGCCTCCCGGGCCGGGCCGCAGCAGCAAGGGAACGGAAGAGCCTGAGGGCTGGGTGTGTCCCCCAACCCCAGGAAGGGGCACCGAGCAAGAAGTCAGGACCCAGTTGTGGCAGAGCTCTGCCCCGGCCTGCGCAGTGTGGCCGTGGCCTCACAGAAGTCAATACGTCATGACGGCTGTCAATTTTCCCTTCCGTTAAAAAAAAAAAAAAAAAGGAAATAATTGGTCCTTCCCATTTCCTAGAGTATTGTGAGGGCTGAATGAAGTAACTCTTCAATCAGCGCTTTGCAGGGGACGAGCTGCCATCGTCTCCACCCTTTATTAAGTTTCAGCAAAAATACAGTGGTGCATGTCGAGGTGGGGGATTCCTAAACGCACGCGACCAAGTCCGCGCCTGCACACCGTAGGTGAGAGGAGTCAGATCCCCGTATGCAAGCTTGCCCCACCAGGGCAACCCTGGGTAAATTGCGCCTCCTCTGTTTCATTTGTAAATTGGGAATAATAATGTCCACTGCATTGGGTTGTTTTCAGTATTAAAGGGGATAGCATGTGTGAATACTTAGAGAGTAAATGCCCCCGTCTCCATAAGCACTAACTAAACATTCATCAATATAACCGCAGTTCTGGGGCACCCCAGGTGGCTCCCCTGGTTAAGCGCTGACTGTTAATCTTGGCTCGGGTCATGGTCTCATAGTTCCTGAGATGGAGCCTCACGTCAGGCTCTGTGCTGACAGCGTGGAACCTGCTTGGGATTCTCTCTCTCCCTCTCTCTCTGCCCCTTCCCTGCTTGTGCTCTCTCTCTCTCTCTGTCTCATAATAAATAAACTTTGAAAACATATTTAAAAATTTTTTAAATATATAACTGCAACTCAGTTGTTGCAGAGAGGGCGAGAAGCAGCCACTGGGCCCAGAGGCTACCCTGGAAATGCTTTCTTGGTGGGGCTTCTGCTGCAAACAGACTCTTGCAGAGTATCACTGGGAAAACGTGCCGTCACAAGCACTGGCTCTCACAACTTTGTATGGGGCGTGGACCACAAGGTGAGCGCCCCGAGACCTGGGAGAAAGCGCCCCCCTCTGACAGCAGAAGTATCTTGGCAGCCGTGCACTCCGCCTGTGCTGCAGGCGGCTGGGCTGGGCTGGGGGAGCAGGGAGCTGCCCCGTTGCGGCTGTCTCACTCCTGGCCAGCCGAGAAGCCCAGGACACACCGTTGGGGCAACATGGGGCACAGCCTCACAATACCGCTGCTAGGCCAGACTACTTCCTTTTTCTGGTGCAATCTGGAAAAGTGAAATGGCATTTATTTACTGAGCACACACTACGTATTTCCAGGAGCAACAGAATCAGAGAGAGTCCCCAGTGTTTGGAAACTCACAGTTGAAGACATATTAGCAACTGAAATGGATACATCAATATTGTCAATACTGCCATTTGCTCACCATACTTAAAAGATTAGAATAACGTTTTCTCTCTCTTTTTTTTTTTTCACTCCCAGGAAGAAGTTGTCCCTAAATGGTTTTTCATTTTATGAGTCAAACCTCGATGCCTGTTTATGAGGCAAGGGGGCACTTTGGGGTAGGTCTGTGGGATCTGGACTCGGACCCTTTTCTAAGGCTTGAGTGAGCTGAGAAGGAAGAAGAGAGTTAATACACCCCAGAGGGCATGGAATCAGCAGTCTCCTGACACTGTTATTTTAAGATGCTTCAAGGTTTGAAATGAATGATTAGAGGTGGAACCAGCACAGGCTCCTATTCTGACCCCTCCATGTACCATCAGGGTGGCTGAGGTGCTGGGACTCTTAGTACCTCCTTCTGGAAATGGTGTCCCTGCTGGCTGGCCCACATGCATGTAATAGCTCTCTCTCTCTCTCTCCCTCTCTCTCTCACACGCACGCACACACAAACACACACACTCATTCCTGAGCGCCTCATGTACAACTACATCTTGTTTAAAATAAAATGTCCTGGACACTGTCCCCCACCATGCAAAGGCCCCACCCCCACAGTCACAAGGAACACCACCCTCCTGGGCTCGCAGAACCCACCCTGCCCCCTCCCCCTGAGAAAGGGGAAGGGAAACAACTATATCCGGCCACCAAAGTTCCCTGCCTCACTGGCGTGCTGGCTAATGGACTGTGTGGCTCAACTGGCTGACCATGCACATGTGGAGGAATTTCCAGAAGCAAGGTCCTCTGTACATGAGGGTGTTCCTCGCAGGCACCATTGTTGGGTTTGGAGGATTTTCGAGGCGGGGTGGGGCCTGCCAGCAGCTTCCGGGATGATGGATGTGTCAGGACAGGGTGGGGGGGTGGGGGAGGGCGGCTGGGAGACAACAGGGTGGGGCTGCAGCCCTGTCTGAATCCCCGAGGCAGGCCCCACCCCATCCTGGCCCTCTCTGCCCCTCAGGGTAGCTCCTTCCCCGCCCTCCCTTTTCCTTCTTCCTTCCATTCTGTTTCTCGCAGCCTCCCTCTCCCGTCTCTTCTCCATTTCCCCCTGTGCCTTGTCACAAGGAGTGTGGGCCATGGTCCAGCGGCATCAGCATCACCCCTAGGGTGTTAGACATGCAGAATCTCGAGCACCCCCCCCCAGACTTCTGAGTCACAATCTGCTTTTTAAGCAAGACTCCAGGTGAACTCAGTGCACATTAAAGTTTCCTCTCTCCTCATCTCGTCTTTTCCTGCCCTTAGCTTTCCCTCAGTCTTCCTCCTCACGCCCCTCACCCTCTGTCCTTTTTACATCCTGCTCTCATCTGCCCTCTGGTCTGTCCCTCTTTCCTTTCTTTTCCTCTCTGCCTCCCCTCCCTCCTTCCTTTTCTTTCAGCTTCCATCCATCCATCCATGCATCCATCCATCTGTCCCTCCCTCCCTTAGCTCACTGATCCTGTCTACCGTCACATACTCCACCCTTCTCTCTTTCTAGATCTTTCCTTTCTCTTTGCCCCATCTCTGTCCCTTCTTGCTGAGGCTGAGGAGAAAACACAAGAGTTCTCTCATCCCCTCTGCCCATAGGCCGCTGCCATCTTGCCCACGTAGCCCATCTTGTTCCTTTTCTCCAGATTGGCCTGGACCCTCCGGCCCGGTCATACCTGCAGAGGATTCTTTGTGCTTATGGCGATGACGTGGTATTTGTAGTAGCAGAGCTCACAGCTCCAGCAGCCGCGCTCGCTGATCCACTTGATGAGGCAGGGCTGGTGCGTGCACTTGACCGAGCCATCACAGCGGCACGGGCTCAGCAGCTCCCCCTGCAGGGAGAGAGGCAGAGGGCGGTGAGGTCCCCGCCTGGCGTGCGAGTGAGGGTTGAGGCCACCCCGGTAGGGAAGACCACACCACTGAAGCCAGGTCACCCGCTTTGTTGGGAAGCGCCGGAATCCGTGGGGGACAAGGGCGCCGGGCAGCTTCAGAGAATTCAATAAACAGTTCGGAGTCTGGGCGCCCACTGGGTGCTGCCCCAGTCCTAGGGTGCCTGTAAGGATGAGCGGGTCGGTTTCTATGGAAGCCCCCTGCGTTCCGAGGAGGGTGTCAGCCTGACGGACTTCTCTGTGAGGGGGTCTTAAGCTCTAATGCCCTCGGAGCCAGACAGACCATGTGAGTGACACAAGGCAGCAGCTAGGGACACGGGTCAATTTAAGGTCCCCACCCCAAGTTAAAGGGAAAGCCACTATGAGCTCCAGCCCACTCTGCATGGGGGAATCTAAGGAGCAATTTTTATGTAAAGTCTCCCAATAGTGAGATGTCAACAACAAAGGCAAGTCTTCTAAATATATTGTGAGCGTTCTTTTGCTCGAGTTTGGAGCTCCAGTCTGAAGCCTTTGTTCTCCCCTGTAGGCCAGCAGTGGAGACTCAGGTGCCTCTGTGAAGCCCACCCCGCCACCCTGCCCCCGGGGTCCCTGACTGACAAAGCCTAGTCTGGGGCAGGACTGGGAAGTAGAAAGGCAGGGGACCTGGCCCAGCGAGATGATGGCAGGATTTGAAGCCCCTCATAAGTGGACCGCAGAGATGAGCTTAGCCTCCAGAACGCCCTGTGACCACATGTCAATGACCGTGACTGAAGCCGGCATGTGTCTGCTTCCCGCCAGGCCCAACACTGTGGCCCCAAAGTACCTGTGTGAGCCTCCCTGACTCCTTTCCTGTCGCCTCCCTGCCCCTTTCCATCTTTCCCCTTCTGTGTTGGCTTTCTCCCTCCCGGCTTGGAGTCTGTGGTTTCTGCTGGCTAAATCCCACCACCCCCAAGTCCCTCATTTACTTTCCTAGGGACTTGACAGTTGGGCCCCCCCGCTCCCCCAACCTGTACTTTCTTCTGATCTGCCCCAGGTTTTCTCTCTTTACTCCCTCTGCCTTCCCTCCCCACTCCAACTCATTTATTGTGGATCCAGCCCTTCCACCTCACTCCTATCAAAGGGCCCAGAAGATGTCCCTGTGCCCCACACTGGTGTGTTGGCGATTTGGCCACTAAAGCCACGTCCCTGCTAACTTTGAGATTCCACCATTCAGGAAACCACACTTTGTTCCCCATTTTGAATAAGCAACCACAGGAGCACCTGACCTATAAGACACACATGTAATCGTGCTTTTTGCTGCTGACTGTAGAACCACTGATTTCCTCCAAAGATGCACAGAATCATCTTTCCCTTCCAATTCAATCCCTATCATTCAAAGACCACGCCTTGGCCTGGATGAGGCCTACAACGTTCTTTTGTACCTGTTCTACCTGTCAAACTACTTCTCTATCTTCATGATAGTTTCCAGACCACCTCCTACAGGGAGTCGCCCCTGACTCTTCCAGGTTGAGCTCAGTGCTTTGATCTCTGAGTTCCTTGTGCTGAGCACCTTGAGCATATCCCTGTTAGAGCACTGAGTGCATCCTTATAAGGATGCCTGTCTACTTGTCAGAGAAGCCCTGGAAGGCAAGGATGAGGGGTTGTTCACTCCTTTCCCTCAATGCTTAGCCCTCTTCCCTGAAGGCCCTCAACAACATTTGTGTTTGAGTAAATGAAAAAGTTAATCAAATGTCTTCTCAGGTTCCCTGCCCTGTCCTGAGGAATAGAGATGAGACTGCCCACTCCACGAGAAGAGGGACCATGTCCATTTGTGGACCTCTGGACCCCAGCACCTTGCCCAGCACTCCTTGTACGTAGGCGCCATGAATGAACTTGGTGGCAGAAACGCTCAGAGTGCCTGATCCCCATACAACCCTTCTTTGTTCCCCACGCTGCTCCTCCAGTATTGACGGGCCCCGTCTCTGTGGCTCCCGCCCTTCCCATCCATACCCTCTGCTGTAGCACTTCCCCCTTTTGTCTCTGGGTTACTACACCATGATCCCTTACAAGGACGATATCTTTCCCATCTTTGCATCCTTAGCACCTAGTACAGTGCCTGAAACAGACTTTCCATACCATATTGATGGCATTCATGTCTGTCTGATGAACAAGTTTTGCTCCCCCAGGACACGGCCAGTCTTGGCTCCAGGTGGGCAGCTGTGGCACCTGGGAGAGTAGAAGCAGGAGATGCCCACACTGCTGGGCACTCGCCACACCTTTCCAGGCCCAAGGGCCCTTGGTAGTGAGTCGTTGCAGTGTGGCTCTCAGAAAGAAGCAGGAGGGGGAGAGTGGGGAGAGGTGTTGGGGGAGGGGCAAAAGCCCTCATTATTCCTGGCAGCATTTCCTAGGCTCATTAATTCTAACAGGATGAGCTGGGTTTGATTAATCGAGTTGTTAAGCAGCCATGTCAAATTGCCAATGGAGTAAGAGACATGACTTCCGGTCCCTGGCAACGCTGCCAAGTGACAGAGAAGTCTGCACGTCTTGCTTCCAAGCAGCAGCCAGAAGACGGGGCAGGCAAAGTTGCTGGCTGGGCACAACGGATCACAAGCCCTGGGCTCTCCATCAAGGCTCTAGATGTGCAACCACCAGGGCTCACAGGAGTCCCTGAACCTCAGAATACTTATCCAGAGAAGGGGAGGGCATGACCTGGCCTGGCTGGCCCCAGTGCCCGGTTACAGGGCCTAGAGGCCAAAGGTGTGCTGTCTGCCCAGGGGCTCCTGGTCCCTCACGCTTTCCCTTGGAACCGGACAACCCCAAAAGGCAGACTAGGAACTCGCTATAAAGATTAGAAAGCAAGGACACCAAAACTGTTAGAAAGGTTTAACTTTGATAAAGGAAGCAATCTAGGATTTTAACCAAAAAAAAAAGGTAAATCTGGATAGATGTTCTTGTAACCATGGCATTTACATACATAGGTTTTGTATGTTATGATTTAGTATATTTTTATGCACATTTGGGAGAAGGGCCATAATCTTTTTCATGTTTAAGGCTTCTAAGAGGCCTCAACCAGGATGCTTTACCATCTGTGACTGGTCAGGCCTCTGCTTCCTCAAGAGCAGAAGTGGAAATGAGCCAGCAGCCCGACAGACTCAGGTGAGCCTTAATGAAGGTGATCTGTGCAGTAACCTCTGTTAAAAGCTGAAGTTTTGGAGCAGGAGGTGGTAAATTCCTCTGAGTGTAAGAATGACCCTATTGAAGAGAAAGGTTAAAGGACCAGCTCAGGGTCACTCAGCCAGCCAGGGGCATGGCCAGAATGTAAAGCCAGGTCTTCATGACACCAGCCTCCGAGCTTCTTACCACCCTGCTCCGTGCATCCCTCCTGTGCACTCTGTCCCCACAGTCCCTGCCACACCTGTGCCCATGGTCTCTTCTCTGTCTGTCCTCCAGCCTCCTGGTCCAGCTGGTGCTCCTCCACCAAGTCGCTCCAGACCGCCAGCTACAGACCTGTCTCCTCTCCCCAGGCTGCCACCCACAGCTGGGTGGTGCTTCTCTGTGTCTTCCAGGATTGGGGCTGCCCCTGTGTGCCCCATAAACTCAGCACATTACAGGTGCACAGTAAGGGGCACTTGCTGACTGGATGGGCACCAGGGTGTGGCAGAGGATGAACCCCTCTGATCCAGCTCCTGAGGCACCAGCCCTTGGGCTGGTGGATTATTACAATCTTGTCTGCAGAGCTCAGCAAACTCCACAGATCAAAGGGGCTCATTAAATGCAAAGGGCGCCAGACACTCCTTGATGTTCTACTTGGAGCTTTGGGGCCCAGAGAATGACCAAGGCAAGAAAAATCGGGTCCTCTCTAATCCCCTGGCCCCCAAGGGACATGGTGTGAGGAAGGGATGAAGAGCATGTTTTTCAGAGACTGACTCCTCAGGTGTTGAATCCCTCTTCATGCTTACCAGCTGTGCACACTTGGGCAGGTTGCTCAACCTCTCTGAGGCTTCTTCTTTTTTTTTTTTTTTTTTTCTCTCTGAGGCTTCTTTATCTTTCTGTTGCAGGCAGCTCTTACCTCCTCCAAGGGTGGTGTGATATCATGCCCACAATGTGTGAGATACAGTGCCTGGCACAAATAAGTCGTCTGGTTCGAGTATTACAATTCTAACTCAGGTTTCCATGGGGACTTTAATTTCATAATTTTTTTTCTACTATAGCTCTATTTTGTTCTCCTAATAGCAAATAAGGAAGAGGGAGGCATGTCTTAGGTAAAGGGTCAACTGAGTCCCTGAGGGAGGGCCAAGTTAAAGAACTATCTAAGACAGTCTGCCCTTGTGAGATGGCTGAAGGATAGGGATATAGATCTGCCAGTCTGCCAACTTCTGGTCCAGGACTGTCCCCTGTGTTACCATGAGGATGCTGAGAGCATTTGGGAGGGTCTCCTTCTCTGGGGATGCTGCACAGAAGAGCACGGGCCTCCTGGATGGGTTAAGTAGGGTCATGCTAGAGGCAGGAGGCAGGACGGGTTGAGCCACAGCCTTTGGCTATGGCTGAGATGGCGGGTGGGGAGGAGAAAAGGATGGATTCTCCTCACTGCCAATGACACAGCAAGCTTCAGGTGCGAGACTCCAGTCGTTTCTCCATTCACAGATTTCTTTCTGTTTATTTTCAGCTTTCTTCAATTCTTTCTCCCCTCAATCTGAAAGGACTTGCTTCTGGAGTCCTTAGGTTACCTGGTTGCCATGGCAGTGGCAGGTAAGCCAAGACTTCCCTTTCCACCCACATAGGCATCAGGCATCCCTGCCACAGAAAGACACAAATACAGTCTAGTGATGCAAAGACAGCCCCAGCCCTGCTGCAATGTGCAGCTCCCGAAGATCAGAACAAAGGAGACAACAGAAGCCCTAGCCTTGGGGTGCAGTTTAGGGACATCATCCTTTATTGACACTAATGTGGTGGTTAAGAGCTTGGACTCTAATCCCAGTAAGTCT